GAGTTGAAAATTATCATTCAAGAATACAATTACTTGCATTTTTCAAAAAGGGAGACACTGCGAATGGAAACCGTACTGGAACTTGTCCGTTTTCATTCTGCAGTGAATACTTTACACATTCTACAGAGATGGTTTTGATGAAGAGTGTTACTCAAGTCTTGGTCATAGGGATTGGATGAAGACCTGTAATGTCATACAGGAAGTGACAAGATTATAGTTCTTCATATTCACGCAAAAGGGAGGAAGCAGCAGATGACATGGAGGTGGAGAACTTGGAATTTGGAAGCTGAGCCAGAAGATCTAGGTTGAGACATGTCAGCAAAAGTATTACAAAATATCCACAGAAGGCCAGAGTACCAGATACTTCCAAACTTAATTTCATGTTCCCATTCTTTTAGTTAATTGTGTAATCCTTTGTAAGAAAACAAAAAAGAAAAGTCTTCTTATCCCTTACTGGGATTTAAAATGCCACTCTACACTCCCAAAAAATAACTTATGAGTTTATAGTTATCTTATTTGCCAAACAGTTTTGGCAAAACTTCAGAATACTGATTTGATCTAAGGCTGAAACTTAGCTGCAGTTTTTCTCCAATTCAAAACTTACAACACCTTCCATCCCTCAACAATCTAATACTTAGGGGAGGCAAGAATAGGCTTCAGGTACTTCATGACCTGGGATTTCTGGGAAGGAAATTTATTTAAAATATAAAAAAAAATTATGAACTTAACCTTTTAGGGAAAATAAGAGATCTGAGAGATCTTTGTTCTTTACTGTTTCCATGGCATGTAAACGCAAACCAAGAAAAAATTCTGTACATTTACGTTTAAATCTCTGTGACAAAAATCAACTGATCAGTTAATAATTAAGAGATCATTAATCATTTAATTATTTCAGGTTATTTGCAGCCATCTTAACCTGTTGAAATTATTACCTCACGTAAATTATGAATATGAGGTGATTAATGATGTCTGAGGAAAATGGCTGTTTTGCATTTTACTTATAAACCAAAGATGAAAAATTGTAGTTCAAAATCTTGCAGCTGAAGTTGACTGGAATTTAGCCTATGCATTAAATATGGCTGTGGTTTTGCTGCAATGAATAGATCAGGGATTAACATTGTACGGTCAATTTCATGCATATAGACACAAAGTCATTTTAATTTGAATTAATTCCAAGTATGTGTAGTGCAGATAGATAGGGTGTTGGCAAACCATTTCTGGTTCCAAACAGAAGTAGTTAGAAGCCTACAGAGTCCTGTGTTAAAGAAGTATTTTGCTATGCCTAAACAAAAATATAACCTTGATTTTGCCCTGAATCAAAATCATAAACATGATTCCTGCTGCTTTGCAAACATCTCTTGCTTTGACATCAGTGCAGGTGCAGATAGGTTCAGAGGACAGCGAGACAGGGGTGAATTCAGCACCAGCCTCCCTGGGCTGCAGAGGACTTTGGAGCTGTAATGCTTCCACTGTAGTGACAACTGGCTGTTACCTGAAAGTAGGAGAAAGGGGATGGGTGGTTCTGACACATGTAATGACCATTCAATTTGATGATAAGCCCTAGCCTGTTAGGTAAAAAATTTCAGTGGCTTAACAGTCTGTTCTAAATATATTGCCCAATAAGTGTTTTAAACATATAGCCCATTTATTGTTGATACAGGGATCTTTTTCACAGCTGTTTGCGGTGAAGCTATTTCACTATGCATTGAAAATTGAACTTTTTTCAGCTTGCATTTGGTAAAATGTGTTAACTGAGCTGGCAAAATGTATTTCTGTAATTCAAATTTCTGTCCTCAGGTTTCCATAGCAATTGTAAGGAACACACAAGCTGTGTTAGAGCATAGTTTTATCTGAACATTATTACCTTTGTGTTGAGAACCTTTAATTTTTTGACTTAACATATATTTAATGCAAAGGACAGATTAATAATGCTCAGGTTGGTTTGAGTTAAATATTGATTCTTTTAAGTTAAAAAGTATTACCTAATATAATTTAAAAAAATTTACTACCCCATTTATTCTAAGACTACTAATACACTGGAGAGAATGCTTCAGGTTCAGGTGGACAAAATGGCATAAATAGCACTGAGTACAGTAAGAGAATTTAAGTTCATTAGTGACGTTTTTTACCTATATACTTATTCGATATTGTCTGAATGCTAAAGTATGTTTAGACATTCAAATAAGCAATGACAGTTAATAACCATTATACAAATTAAACTGTAACTCAATGGAAACCAAGATTCTGAGCAAAGTATTTGATCTTGGGCAAGACTGTTAGGAAGTGCTACAAAAATTAGCAAATGAGTCACAGAATCATGGAACGGTAGGAGTTGGAAGGGACCTCTGGAGATCATCTAGTCCAACCCTGCTGCTAAACCACATTCACCTCCAGACGGGTTTTGAGTATCTCCAGGGAAGGAGACTCCACGACCTCCCTGGACAGCCTGGATTAAGGAAAAAAAAACCAAACCAAACCCAACAAAAAGCCTAATTTCCTATTTTGTGATTTATGGATATTATTCCCCTTTATTAGGTTAAAGCAAAAGGGAAGAGGGGAAGGCAGAAGGCTATTGTGCCTCTGAATGTGCAGGAGAAGACTCTCTAAACACAAAGAGATTATTTAAATGTTGAAACATCCAGACAAAAACCCAATAGATACATCAAGTCTGATATTCAAAAGTCAGGGATACTATTTAAATATTTGATATAGCACAAAGAAATAATGTAGTTTGCTTGCATAGACCTATTTTTTGAGTGTGTACAGAGTGCTCTTCCTCTGGTGTAGTTTTTATCATTATTTTTTTTCTTCTGTGCATTTTACATGTGTAGAGCATTGACTTCCCCATTCATCCGCATCATTTTGCAGTATCTCGTCTAATCAGACAATTTTCCAAGTTTTTGAACTTTACTTAGTGATATAAGGCAGTGATATGGCAAAATGATGTGCTTTGCCCCAGAAATGCTAGTAGAAATGCTACCTATTTGTGCTTGGTGCCCATGTGATGCCAGCCTTGAACTCTTACTCTTTTCTAAAACTTGCTTAGAGAGCTTAACCTCAGTATTGTAGCAAGGTGAATCCTTTTATTGCAGTAAGAGGACAGTAGCTATGTTTTTTTTAGTGGTCTTTTACAGCATCATTAGCTTGGCAACTATGACCCCGAAGGAAAATTGCTAAAACAAATCACAAGAACATCTGTCATCAGATAGCTCCCTATTTGTGCTTCACTTCTGTGGTTTCACAGTAGGGGTTTCTTCATGTAGGGGATTGCTGTACATTGCTGCACATTGCTGCAACTGTGGGTAAATTGTTATTAAAAATCAGTCACAATCACATATCAGTCAGTAAGAAAGCCCATCTTCAATTAATAAATGACTTTGAAGATTTAACAACTGATCTGTATCTTTAGCTAAATAGAGGGGTATGTTGAATAAGCAATTATGTTAGTGTCACCTAATAGGTGGTGAAACTAAAGAACAGAGGCAAACTAATCAGCACACATATCAAAACTTGTGTATCCTACAAGTTTATCTCCTAACTTATCCTCTTGAATGTACTATATTGTGTCTAATAAAAGGATAGGAAGCCTGGACTAATAATTCAGAGTTGTCAGAACTTTAGATTGGAGAGGAAAATCCTAGAAATAACTTCTAACATTTTAATGTATTGTTTATTTTAGGCTGTATTGCCACACAAATTTAAAAGACTACAGAAACTTTGGCCTAACTTACAATATCCTTTTTAAATTGCATCCAGATCTTTCAAAGAAAAATCTTTTTAATATGTTCGGAAAGCCTGGGAAATTTTACATTTTGAATAAAATCAACAGTCAAATCTTTCATTTGTATTTAAAAAAGTGGTATTTATTATTGTAATATTAATAATATTTCAAATGACACAAATGTTTTCTTAATGAAGTATATTTTTTCTGGAAAACACCTTTGACTTCCAGTGAGTGGGTGGAAAAAACAGACTATAGAAACTGATTTAGGTACAAATTGTATTCACAGCTAGTTCATACTAAAATGTGAAATTAACTTTATTACTCTATCTTTTTGCTTCCAAGAGATCTATTTCACCTCTTTATTTATACCCTGTAAATCTGAACTTCTGGCATCTTTTGAGATTTTAGAGCTTAATCAAGCACTTTAACATTCTTACAATGTAGATTTTACTGCAGCTGGCATATATAACTAACTTTTGTAGTCTCTTTCTGGCTAACTACACACAGCATAACGGTCTTTCAAACCTCTAACATTGCCTCCCATAATATACTTTATAACATATGCCCTCCTTCCATGCTCTGGTGAGATAACAAAGAAAATGCTTTGATCATGAAATCTGGCCCTATCATTGGAATAAGTCTCTTCTCGCTCTTCAGAAGTTTTACTTCTCTGAATTGCTGCTTGTGGCACTGCATTTCAGTTTGCAGCACTCTGCTGCTCTGAAGCTGTATTAAATACAATTTTAAACAGAATAGTGAGCAGGTTGTTTTGTCACTATTTTATTGAGAGTTTCTCCAAAGAAATTGAGCACAGTTTCTTAAAGACTTTGATCATTTTATGATTGAAAAAAACAAAGACTCGTTCCAAGAGTTGAGAGACTTGATTCTGTAATAACTTTGTGTAACACCCTTGGAAAAAGTTAATTGATTTCTTGATAACAACACTGTTTTCCCATCAGGACAACTGTATAATACAAATAAATAGGAAATTGATGTTACAATAGCATATCATGGGTTTTGTTCCTACTCTGCAGTGCAGCAACACAATGTACATTTTCTTGAATATTCTAATTAACCAGGTCACAGGTCAGTTTAAAATATTATATAGAAATATTTTATGATAAAGACTTATCAGATACTTTTATCAAGAATTCTTTTTTTATTTAGTTTTTTTACTTCTGATAGTTGAGGTCTTTAGTACACACTGTAATGCCTTAAACTTTGTGTCCCATAGACAGCTACAAATTCTTATTGATCTGTGTCATCACCTTGGCAGGTCGAACTCTGCTGGAAAAGCTTTTCAGCCAGCAGGAAAATGCACCACAAGAAGAAGCAGAAAAGCTATGTTCTCGCATTATTGCAATGGGTCTTTTGCTTCCATTCACCGACTGCTTCAGAGAACCATGTAATCAGAGTGCCCAGCAAAGCACACCCACATTTGATGTAAGTACTGAAAAAGTTATCTTCTGTCTGTTTTGCCAGACGGGACATGATTTATCAGTGGCTCATCAGTCCTCAGAGAATTGTGTTAGTCCTTTTAATGAAAATTGCCTTTATGAGAGCTATTTTTCTGACCTCACATGTGTACTCTTTTGTACTCAGGTAAGCATAAGTTTTAGAAGGTTCTCCCATGACTTCTTAACTTTTTATCTCATTAACTCAACTTAGTCTGCTATACTGTTCTTTATCTGTTGTTTTCAGTGAGTCTTTTTTTTGAATCAAAACTCTCTATAGGGCTACCAACATTTCAATCCAATAGCTGCTTCACCAAAAATATAAATTAAAGGATGAACAGAAAACAGCATTTTGCAGAACTTTTCAGAACCTGAATGGGATGTCTCTGCTAGATAATTTTTCCCCCTGAAAAGACTTTTGATACAAAATAGTGCAAGGATTAGTGCAAATTTGCTGCCATTCCAGCTACAGTGTTATCTGTGCCTTTGGGCTATCTGACCGGAGTGCTGTTATTGGTGATGCTTGCATACTGTTACAAAACTCTGGTGTAGACTGTGGCTAACATACTTTTCCTTCCTCTTGGATAATGAATTTAACGTTAGGATGTCTTTCTATTGTATGATACTGTATAACCCATGAAGTTTTACAGTGAACTTATTTTTATGATCCTTGCCATTAAAATTTATTTTTGCCGCTTTGTACAGTTTTATGTGACAGAAGGCAATCAAGGTTTTTCTCTTCACTAATTAACTTCAAAATAATGTACAAATATTAGCTAATCTACTCAATACCTTACTGGTATAGTGATGATCATCCCTATTCTACAGATTAAGCTGATGCTTGGATAGAAATACTCAAAAAATGATTGGCATAGATATGAGAGAACAAGAGTCTTCGTAACTCTTTAAATCTTTCTCAGCTTTCCTGAAGAATAGTTTAACAGAACTGGTAAAGGGAAAGTGTGTGGAATAAATTTGTCTGGAAAAGGCACATTGCTTATTTTTCAGGTTGTTTGAAAGAGTCTGGCAATGTTTTCAGTTCTCCTGGTTTTACCGTGTATTCAGCTAATAGAATCATAGAATCGTTCAGGTTGGAAAAGACCTTTGAGATCACCAAGTCCAGCCATCAACCCTACTCTGCCAAGTACACCCTTAAACCATATGACCAAGCACCACATCTAAACGGCCTTTAAGCACATTAAGGGATGGTGACTCAACCACCTCCCTGGGCAGCCTGTTCCAATGTCTGACAACCCTTTCAGTGAAAAATTTTTTCCTAATGTCTAGCCTAAACCTACTCTGGTGCAGCTTGAGCCAATTCCCTCTTGTTCTATCATTAATTACTTGTGAGAAGTGACCAGCACCTGCCTCTCTACAATGTTCTCTCAGGTAGTTGTAGAGAGCAATACGGTCTCCCCTCAGCCTCCTTTTCGTAAGACTAAATAGCCCCAGTTCCCTCAGCTGCTCTTCATAAGGCTTACTCTCTAGGCCTTTCAGCATCCTTGTTGCCCTTCTCTGCACTCTCTCTTTAATCTCTTCTTTAGAATATTGAATACAATATTCTTTTTAAAAAAAGTTTCTCCGCACTTACAAACAGATTTTATCAAATTAAAAGTTTGGAAAGAAGCTGAAGGGACTTTTTTTTTTTTTTTTTTAACCAGTATACGCTGCTTTGTCTGAGTAAGAGAATTATTCTAGTTATGTTTCATTGACCGTTTCTGAAAAGAAACAGCAGCCTAGCCTAGTGCCATGTGAACAGTGTGTCAAATTCAGCAATTTAAGATGTTGCTGGCTCAGCAGTGACCTTAATTTGAATTGGACTATCAGTAAGTCACAAGTGCTGTGTTACTGTTTTTCTGTATAAGTCCCCTAAATAGATTGTGCTCCTGCAAAACAGTGTCAAAAGTAGTGTAAAGCCCTGCATATGTGTATGCAACTAGTAGTGCATCCTCCATCAAAGGAGCGTATATCTGTCTCGAGCACTAGGATCTCAGCATCTGAATTTCTCATGGCACAAAGACAAGAACTGCTACTATTGGGTTTGGGAATAAGTTTCTGCTTTATCCTTGGTGACCACAGTACAGGAACACCTACCTGTTTATTCATTATGTGCCCTACAAGGGTGAAAATGTTTAGAGCTTGCAGTATAAATTCTAGTGTCTGAGAACTTCAAAATTGGGCTTCTTCTAGCTGATTTTTCTTCTTAGATTGAGTAAATAAAATATCTTACAGAAAATAAATGAGAATAGTTATGTAAGGAAATGAAAAAATAATTAGTGTGAAAAAACTTACGGTGATGCTGTACAGCACTTTAAAAAGGATGTGTAAGATCTATGACTCCTGTCTCCTCTTGCATGTCTCTCCATGTCTGTAATTTTCTTTTTTTTTTTTTTTTTTAATTCATTAGATCAGGATTTTAATGTTGATCTAATAATTGATTTCAAAGACAGAGAAATTAGACTAGCCTTAATTAATACTTAAGTTTCACTGATCTAGACTTGGGAGATACATCATCTTTGACCTTACTGCAAAACCAGGAGCAAAACCAGGAGCAAAGCCAGTCCTATATTCTTCTTCCATCTCTGATTCATCAGATATGCCTCCAGTTCAATTCTGGATTGCCTACAGGTTGACTGGTGTCCTGTTCACTCAGCTGAAACTGCTATCAGCAAAGCTTCTGTAACCCTGTCCTGGTCCCATACAGGTTTGTCTGCCACCTTGTTGTCTTTCCTCCCTGCTACTTCCAGCTCTGGTGCTTGCTTGTTCCTTAATGTTATTCATCTGTCTGTTTTGATTTTTATCTTAATCCGATTCTCAAAAAGTCTGTTTTGTTTTTTCAGAATTGCCAACCTTTTTCCACTGAAGTCCTTCCTTGAATCCTCCCTTTCCTCCCTTTGAGACTCATCCCACCTATTTCTGAGCTTTAACTTACTACTTTTTTATGTTGAATAAAATCCATTATTCCCCTTTTGCTTAAGTTTGGTCCCAGAGATTTTTGGTTTTTTTGAAGATGTTAGGTTACAGTTTATGAAAATAATTCAGTAATTTTTTTTACTCTGATCATGGCTTGAAATGGATATAACCAGATTTTTTAAAAGTCCTATTCTCTCACTCTGATCTCCTTTTCTGGATGTGCTCCAGTGAATTTAACTTAACGTAGCTAATGCTGTACTCTTCTGTCTTGAAATGTGTGCAATCGCAAACTGATTATGTTCTCATCTTCTTTATTACTCGTGCCCAGTGACCACCTCTAGTTCTCCCTGTCTTACAATTGTGTATCTAAATGTTGTGTCTGTTTTGTTACACGCAAGAGATCTGGGTTGTTGTTTTTTTCTTTCTCCCAAGGTATTCCAGGCTTCAGTGTGGGCCTCTGCCTCACAGCATTAAATAATTGTACACAACCTCTTTTCCTTTTCTCATTGGACCACTTTTCTTTCTTGTTCACAGTCTCTGACTGCAATTAGGCAGTGCATTAGGAGTAAAGACAACTTTCACAGCTCTTAGTTTCTTGGGCTAGTATTATAATGACTCCTGGAAGCCAGCTTAAATTAAATCCTTAGCACTTGTATTTCTGGTGTAGGTTACACATTGTGGACGTGATGCTTACTCCTTTGTTAGTATATGGCAAACATGAAGGACCAACAAATACCCAATGAAAACATAAATCTTCAGAGAACTAGCAGCTGTCGTCACATTTATGCTGGGAATGGTGTCCGGTTTTCAGAGGCTTATAACTTTGTCAGATTTTGGATAGATTTTAGTGATGATTTGAAATGACATGTTCCTGAAGTATCTCTGAACATTTTGTCAAGTTTCAAGTCGTAGCACAAAGGATAAAAACTTTAAAACTGTTTTCAGAAGTTACAAGGAAACTTTCATGTTCTATCTTGGCCCATTTTATCAATTATTTCTTTCAAAACAGATTGTGGCAAATGCCCAGAACAAAAGATTAGTCTGAAAAATAAAAGTTGGACAGAGCTTTAAAAGTAACAGAAATAGACAGGGTTGGGATTTTTTAAGATGTTTGCTGTTGAGAAGCAGTGGAAACTTTTGCTGTAGCTCTTCCTACCTACTCCTCTTATAACGTAAAGAGTATCTTGAAGAGTAAGTAAATGTACAATGGCAGATTCTCTGTCTAGAAATACAATGCCTTTTTGCTAGTTTCCTGTCTCTTGGAGAGGCTGCTAATTATTACTGCATAGATTTCACGACTTCTTACTTGTCAGGCTATCTTTACAGCCTTTCATTTTTCTGCTAGTATTTTATGAAAGGAAAAAAAAGGAGTTTTTAAAAATAAATTAATTTTTAAAAATGGCCAAGAAAGTAAATGTGCAACTTATAGAAAGATAGATTAGCAAAAACCTGTTCAAAGAATGTTCTCTGAAAAATAGCTTGCCTTTTAATAACTATTGCCTGCTTTTCTTTTAAATGATTCCCTTTTTAACATTTGTGACTTGTTTAAAAGGACTTCTAAAGTTTCAAATTAAAATAAAATATCCTCTGACTGGATGGTATGTAAGAAATCAATGCTTTGTGAAAAACTGTCAGTCCCAAATGACTGTGTCATATTATTAAATACTCATATTTCTGTAGTGCAAGTGTAGTCCTGGCCTTTTTAACATGCTACCTCATAATATTATGCTATTATAGTAAAATAAACACAAGGCTAAACACTGCATCCTTGTTAAGAATGTAACAGCAGGCAAGTTTTACAGTCACCGGTTGGAGGATCACAATTCTCAGCAATTAGAGATCTCATCTGCTTAGCTCCTCTTTTAATGATGTATCACAGAAGGTAGAAGATGGGTATCTATGATGAGCCATCAGCAATGTGTATAAATTATACACATTTGCATTAGAATTTAAACTGTTCATACACCAGTAAAAGAAGCTGGCATTTTCCTATCAAAACAAGGCAACTTTACTGTACTACTAAGAAATATTGACTGTGCTTGGTGTTTACATTTTATCCAGTTGCTGCAATTACTA